TTCTCCACTGCTGCCCCTGCTTCGACATGGGATTGCATAAACTCTGCTTTACATGCAGCTGACTTCCGCTACCAAATGGGTAGGGAACCATGCATCTAAGTTTAGCAATTTTTCATGATCAGTCAATTTAAATAAGGAATAAACATTTTTCTTTTAAAGCTTAATAAAGTATTTGATGTAAAATAATTTATTATATATACAAGCATTTTGAAGCATATCAATAAAATTAATATTTTATTTATTGAGGAGTGAAGCCACTCTTCAACTTATGAAACAGAACATCCAAATCCAGCTGGGGACCTCCACACGGCCCTGCGACCCCAGCTCACTGCCAGCCCGCCCAAAGACAGCCACCACTCTGAAATTCTGCAGTTATGACCTTTTTCTTTTCCCTTTTTATAAATATACTTGTATCACTAATTAATAGCTTATTTAATTTTGCTTGCTTTCACTTTATTCTAGGATAGAAATCACTCCTGGTTTTCTCCCAACCTCTCAGATTATTCTATTTCAGTTTCCTTTTAAGAGTTTCCTTCCTCTCCTTAGCTTCCAAATGTTGAGAGTGCCCGAAGACAGTCGTTTGGCTTCTTTTTCTATCTAAAATAGTGGATGATGACCAAGAGTGATGATTTCAGACACCCGCATGGCTTTACATGCCATCTACATACCTCTTCTCTGAACTCCTGTATCTATGTATTCAACATACTTACTTGAATGTCTAATAAATATCTCAATATTTACATATCCCAAACTTTAATATTCTCCTTCAAAATTTCTTTTTTTCTCCATGAATGGAAGCTCCAGTACCTACTTAAAAATTGCCTTTTCCCATTCTCTTTTATCTTCTGCAAGATTAGATGCCAGAAAGTCTTATACTATTCCTTTGTCTTAACCTCAATCCTCCACATGAAAATTAACCATACATAAAAGCCATTTTTCAATTCTCCTTTTACTTTACTCAGATTTACCTCTGAATTTATGAATTCTCCCTCTAGCTGAATCTCCTCTTCTACTCAAGTCTTCCATTTTAATTTTCAATTATATAATTTTTTTCACTTCTAAACATCCTATTTAGGTCTTTAAAAATGTTTATTTTTAGTAGTTTCTTTTTTATATTTAAAATTACTTGGAATATAGCAAACATTTTTTATTATGTACCTGAAAACTTAATATTGAAGCCTTTGAGGATATGGATTTATTGTTTTCCTGTCGATGTGCACTAACGTTGGCTTATTTTCAGCTCTCTGTGGTTTTAGATGGTGAGCTCACATTTGTTGGCACTTTGTGGGATTTCTTTTGAGGCCTGAATTGGGGGTACCTTTCTCCAGGAATAATGTTTGGCTTCTTTTATCAGGGAATAAGCACTCCTGAAATGAATCCTTTAAAAAATACCATTATAAGGGACACAAACTATGCAAATAGTGTAGGTATTAAGCAATGTGAATGATGGTCAGTGGCTATCTTCAGTCGAATCTTTTAAAAGAAAACAACCCATGGATAGTCAAGGCTGAAAATGGCAAAAGTCTACTTTTTCAGTTTTTCTTTAATTAGTTCAGTTTGTAAAAGGGTGTTGCCTTTTAGGTATCCTGGTTTAATGTGAGGTGGACACTGATTAACTCCCCATTATCCATGGGCCCAAAGTTCTGTACACATTTTCAAGCTCCTCCCTCTAGAGATGAAAGTTTAGCACATTCTCACCACTTTTACTCAATATAACACTAGAAGCACTAGCTACAGGAAAAGAAAAAAAGGGCATCCAAATTGGTAAGGGAGAAGTAAAATTGTCACTTTGAGGATGGCATACTAAATATAGAAAACCCTAAAGACTTCACCAAAAAACTACCAGAATTAATAAATGAATTCAGTAAAGTTACAGGATATAAAATCAATATATAGAAATCTGTTGTATTTCTATATACCAATAATGAGCTAATAGAAAGAGAAATTAAGAAAACAATCCCATTTATAATTGCATAAAAAAGAATAAAATACCTAGGAATAAACATAACCAAGGTGAAAGACCTGTTCTTTGAAAACTTTAAGATACTGATGAAAGAGATTGATGATGACACAAATAAATGGAAAGATACTCCATGCTCATGGATAGGAAGAATTAATATCGTTGAAATGGCCGCTCTGCCCAAAGCAACCTATAGATTCAATGTAATCCCTATCAAAATATTAATGTAATTTTTCACTGAACTGGAGCAAATAATCCTAAAATTTGCCTGGAACCACAGAAAAAAAACAGACTAGTCCAAGCAGTCATGAAAAGAGAACAAAGCTGGGGGTATCACACCCTGTGATTTCAAACTATACCAAAAAGCTACATTATCCAAAACAGTATGGTACGGGCACAGAAACAGATATGTAAACCAATGGGACAGAATAAAAGCCCAGAAATAAACCCATGCCCATATGGTCAATTAACATATGACAAAGGAGGCAAGAATATACATTGGGGAAAAGAGAATCTCTTCAATAAATGGTGTTGGGAAAACTCAACAATTGCATGCAGAAGAATGAAACTGGATCACTGTCTTATATTTAGGTCTTTAATCAATTTGGGGTTTATTTTTTGTATGGGGTAAAACAGACCTCTAAGACATGACACTATAAAATTCCTAGAAAGAAAACAAAGGTCATAAACTCTTGAACATCATCATTAATTTTTTTCTGGATACATCTGTTCAGTTGGGAAACAAAAGCAAAAATAAACCGTAGGACTACATCAAACTAAAAAGCTTCTGCACAGCAAAGGAAATCATCAGCAAAATGAAAAGGCAACCTGCTGTATGGGAGAATGTATTTATAAATGATAGATCTGATAAGGGGATAATATCCAAATTATACAAAGAACTCATAAAACTCATCACCAATAATAATAATAATAATAACAGTAACAATTAAAAATGGGTAGAGAACCTGAACAAACATTTTTCCAAAGAGGACATACAGATGGTCAACAGATAATGAAAAGATGCTCCACATCACTAATCATCAGGGAAATGCAAATCAAAACTATAATGAGATATCATCTCACACCAGTCAGAATGGCGAATATCAACAAGATAGGAAATAAAAAGTATTGGCAGGGATGTGGAAGAAAGGGGACCCTTGTGCACTGCTTGTGCGACTGCAAACTGGTGTAGCCACTACAAAACATAGTGTGGAAGTCTCTCAAAAAACTGAAAGTAGAAACACCATATGGCCCAGAAATTCCATTTCTGGGAATTCACCCACAGAAAACAAAATCACTAGTCTGAAAAGATACATGAACTCCTTTGTTTACGGCAGCATTATTTACAAGTCAACATATGGAAACAACTGAAATATCCATGGATAGATGAATGGGTAGAAAAGATGTGGTACATATATACAATAGAATATTACTCAACCGTAAAAAGGAATGATATCTTGCCATTTGCACCAACATGGATGGACCTAGAGGGAATTCTGCTAAGTGAAGTCAGTCAAAGACAAATACTGTATGATTTTGCTTATATGTGGATTCTAAAAATTATTGAGAATGTTTGATACTTTGATCTGGGTGATGCTCACATAAGCATATACATGTCATAATTCATCAAGCTGTACACTAAAATTTGTACATTTTATATGTACCTCAATATAAAAAAAAACGGTTAACATGGATCAGAATCACTCTGAGGATTTTCTACAACAGATTGCTGGGTCTTGTTTCCTGAGTTTCTGACTTAGTAAGTCTGTGGTAGAGCCCAGGCATGTGCATTTCTAACAGGTTTCCAGGAGACACCGACATGATTGGTTTGGGCTCACACTTTGGGAACCATGCCTCGAGACCAGGGGTCAGCCAAAATTTTCTGCTAAGGGCCAGATAGTGAATATGTTTGATGTTATGGGCCATATGGGTTTGTCAAAACTACTTACTCTGCTGTTTTAGCACAAAAGCAGCTATAGAAAACATAAACAGATACATGTAGCTGTGTTTCAATGAAACTTTATTTACAAAAATAAGCACTGGTCATGTTTGGCCTGGGACCACAGTTTGCTGACCTCTCCTCTAAATTGGTGTTCCCCCTGATCCTGGCCACAGAGGTTTCTTATGCTTTCTTGCAAGCATATCCAGTCATTTAGAAGGGTTTTAAAACTTTAAATGAAAAATTTTAGACATTACATAGCAGAAAATCAGGATCTTCATTCTGCCATATTTCCTGAAATAGAGGTCCTGCATTTAAATTTCTACTTGTTCAAAGACTTTAGGGCAAGACTTTCCTAGCAGATCTGATCTTTCCTACCAGTCCAATGTATTTTGTTGGCCTTCAAAAGCCTATGATTAGCCCTTTTTCCCCCTAGAACCTTTTTCTACACTTTGCCCCTACAGAACATACCCTTCTATTTTACTTAGTTACTCAAATATCCTGAACTTGCTTTGCTGTCTCATTCCCCAATGGTTTTGTACATATTTTTCCATTTCCAGGTTGCCTTTCCTTCTTTCCCCACAATAAGTTTCACAAATTCCTTTTATTCTTTCAAACCTCATTAAAAGTTCCTCCTCTGTACAGCTGTACCTTCCCAAAGCTGCTTTTCTGTCCTACATGTGCCCCCTCCAGTCCATCTTTACATCTATCGTACTGATATTGCTAATTTTCAAGAATGTCTCCTTGTTAGGTTGTGAAAAACGAGGAGGGAATAAGTTTTATTTATCTTCAAATGTCTAGAGTGTGGCACATGTTTTTTACTCCACTTACTGTTGAAAAATTGAACAAATGGCTACATAAATGAGTATTTAGGGAAGGGGATTTTAAACAAACCACTTGTTTAAACCCTTGAGGTTTTAATCTTATCTCAATAATCACTGGCCAAATTAGAACTTTTGTTTATTATTCTCGGTTAGCCAAACCTTCATAAATAAAGTCCATAGTGAAACACACAAAGACATGGGCCACTGCATGCATCACACCCAAACAGCGAGGCCTTTAGAGAGGCTACTGTCTCTAAGATAAAACAAGAAGACACAGTATTTTGTTTCTCTTTTATTGCAACCTATTGCAAGGTCAAAAGATTCACAGAAATATAGAAACTACAAACCGGGTGAATTTCCCTTATCCACTCAAAAAGACATTAAAGACAAAGGACCAGAATTTTCCACTACAGCAATATATTTCATAGTCTTTATTCTGAAAATACTGTTGACATTTTGGAGAGGATAAAAAGCCCTGCATCAAACGTGTTCACATATATTTATGACATTCTAAGCAAAAAAAAAAGATAAGAAACTCTATATTGCCCAGAAAAATCATTTTAAGCCTCATTTTAAAGCATCTAATGAGAACACATTCAACAACCATCAGGAGATCACTAAAGGTGATGCTCTTTATGGCTGTTTTTTGAGATTAATGCTTTGAGGCTGTATGATGTATCTATCGATTTCTACAAATATACCGAAGCGGTTTTCCAGGTTATGTTGCATGAGGCTTTCTGGATTAGTCAACATTTTAAAGAATAAGTGCAAGTCCCCTGCCCCACCCCACCCCCCAAGCTAAAGCATGTCATAGTGCTGTACTTTAGATTCAAACAATGCAACATTTAAAAAAAATCAATTATGCACTTCTGAAACAATTTGACAACCAAACTCTTAACACTCCAAAGATGACTGCAACTTTGAACTGAGATGGCACCATCTATGTTAGTGATGGCTCTCCCTTCTTTTGTCTTTATTTTTTCACTATTTAAAATAGAGTGTGACATATATAAAAATTAAACTTTTGCTTATTCACTCAAGCTACTATTACTATACATACTTTCTTATAAATTAGTTTTGGATTAAAAATCAGTTAAAATAGTGTGAATTAAGATAGTGGTAGGGGAAATGACTATGGAAAAAATACCGTTTGATGTGTAAGAACTACAGTTTATTAACAGTTCATAGTTTTTTTCTTACACAAATTTTATTCCCTTCAAATTAAATTAGTCACCCATTTAGTGATGGAAAAAATATTCTTGGTGCTTAGTGACTAGATTTTCCTAACTGATTGCGATTAAAAGTAAATAACATGCCACATCAGGAACATGTTGACACAAACAAGGGAAACAGTTGTTTACAAAAAAGGAGTCATTATAAATAAGTGTATGGCATTTGAATGTGAAGTTATTTTTTTTTTGTTTCTTATGGTTAATATAATTTTATCAATATTGGGACTTATAGAAAGTGAAACTCAAACCTTAGTATACCTGTTAAAGACAAAAAACCATTATATCCACACTGGGGAAGAATAAATAGCAAAGTCACAAGTCAGGGTTTTGTGTCTAGTTCTACTCTTAAAGATAATCACTCTTTAGCTTAAAAAGGCTCCCTGCTGTCTTGATTATAAATCTAGACACAAGAAAGGTTATTTGAGCCTGAGTTCCCTACTATGAATTAATTGTAAAGATGTGTGAAATCAAAACATATATTCATTTACTGACAGATACTGTCTTAAGTGAAAGCTGGCAATCTTTAATTAAACAAAGAAATGCTTATTTCTGGCAAGTGTAAACAGAATCTTAACAGAAAGATTTTCTAATTTTTCCCCTTAACTCATACATTAACTAGGGATAAATCTTCGAAGTAGCATAAGAACTATTCAAGAAATGATAACATGCATATATCAAAAAATCTTTTCTAAAGCCCGAAGCAAAGAAAAAAAATCAATAGATTGTCTACTTATTATCTCACTCATCAGTCTTCTACTAATGTGACTACTGCCAATCTCAGAAATATACTTTCATAATTACTAAAATTAGCAAAAATATTAAATGATCTGTAGGCTTTTTTTTTTTTAAATAACTGCACACTATTAATTACATTGGTGACTTTAATGTTGGATAGTGCTAGGATTAGCTTCAAATATCATTAAAGTATATCCAGACTATTTACCACCCATGAAATAAAACCTTATACACTGTTAACATAAACCTCAACTGAAATCTCTAGTACTCAACAGAATGCATTTGTAGAAAAATGAGTAATTAATTTTGTGAGCTGGCCAGGGAAATTCAGATTGTTACCTCCATATAAAAACTTCCCAAAAGGCTTTATTTCCTCTCTAGTCTCTAAGTCACTCACTAGATTGGTTAACTGTGAATTCACTGAGTTAGGCAGAGCCACAGTAGATGACATGTCCCTTCAGTGGCGTGGAGGAAGGCCTCTCTGTCAACAAATGATCTAGAAAGAAACTCCCTGGTGTGTGCTCACCACTTTGCACGTGTGTGTATATGTGACAATGTGAAAGCCTGTGTGTGTGTATGTGTCTGAAATTTGGAAAAGTACTGGTTTCCACACTTCTATAGTTAGTGCAACATCCCTTCTGGCCTGGTTGTCATCTGTAGAAGTGCACAATTCTATTGCATCAGAAAAGAAGGAATGCCTTCATTTTAGGGCATCTGCAAGTGGTAGTAATTAGAAGCTCAAAATAATAGATCCAATTTTTTTGATTCTATAGTAAAATATTTTTTTTAGAGGAAAAAGCCTTCAAACTTAAAACTGGGCTTGCGTCTTTCAACATCTTCAATTTTTAAGAAAAACATCAGCTCACCTGGGAACAAACAGCAATTGCGCTTATGCTATGCAGTATGCAAACAGGACACAAATACACACACTCAGGTACACGTGTAGACATGGGACAGTTAAAACCTTTCCATGAGATCACCCAACCCAAAACCTACAATTCCTCTCTGCCCAGAGGGACGGTCCAAGCAGATGTGCACACGGGCAGGGTGTTAGGAGGAGGCGGCTGACATGTTGGGGGTCCAGCCCATCTGATAGGCTCTCTCCAAGGTCCTCTTGCAGTCCTGCAGGACAGTGCTGAAGGTGATGTGGGGGTATTGCTGCACGAGCTGCTCTACTGTCACTTCATTGACCTGCAACCGAAGAAGAGCTGTGTCAGGTACAAGGACCACCAGAACCACCCGCTGCCGGGGCTCCCTGGTCTGCTTACAAAGGCACCAAGAACCCTGCCTCATTCCTCCTCAGCACTGAGAGGAGGTGCTTTGTGAGGAGATACGGGTCCCTTTCTGTCTGCCCTCCCTGATTTCCTAAGTACTACATTTGCCCTTGGAGTTTTTTTAAAAAGACATATGATCAAGAAATCACATGAGTTTTCTAGAAGCATACATGACTGTGATGACTGTGACTTGTCACGATCTTAACAATGTCCCTTGAAAATCTAGTGCTTAGGAGGTAAGGCAGCAGTAAGCCAGCATTCTAATGTGGTTTGGACTTCACTATAAACGTCGCAGCTTTTTAAAGACAAACTGTAGACCGGTGGAGAGGATACATGGGATTCTAGATAGAAGTGTTGGGGAAATGTTTATTTTTCTTCCCTTTAAATGTAGGTATTGCAAACTTCAAGTCCCTTTGTGAAAAGGGCTGAAATGTGAGGAATCAATAATTAAAACATACATGGCTGGCAGGTCAGGGATGGCCCCAATAGACCTTAACCATCAAAGATACCACCTTGATTCTTGATTAGACAAGGCAATCAGACAGGCCTAATTAAAACTAACACCTTTACAATTGCTGTGCTGTGAAGGGATTAATTTGTCAATTATTTTTAAGCTGATTGCAGTTCATATCACAGAAGTAGACAGCTTCCTTCATCCTTTAGATAAATAAATGATTAACCTAAGAACCACAACTTTTAGGTAGCTTTATTTAAAATCTTTATTGAACACTTGGGCATTTTCAAATACATCAATATTTCATTTATACTGAGTAAGCTGGTCTGAAAGATGCTTGTGATACACACTTCTGTGTCCCCTCTCCACGTCTGTCCATTACTGAAAAAGATCAGGAACACCAGGAAAAATCTAAGATGACATCAAACTCTTGCTGTTTGCTTTGAAAGCTGCGACATTCAGTCATCTGCACTTTTCTCTAATAACATGGTTTTCTGAGTGATTTGGAAAACTATGTTATATATAATCTGTTTTTAAAAATTGAGGGTTGATATTTCAATACTGTGTTGATGACAGTCTTTGTCAGAATATCTCTCTATTCAAGACTTTTATTTTATTCAAGACTCTAATCAACTTTCATTACAAATTCAACCAGGGTTCCAGTTAATTCTTTTTGTAATATAGATGTGATGCATCACACTTCATTTTCAAAAACATGAAAATAATTTTGAATAAAAAAGAAAAATCAAAATCCATTAGAGCTGAGAACATGAGTTGATGGTCTTAAAAGGATTCTTAAGCAATATATTTTAAAAATTTATATTTGTTCTCCAAGTCTTCTTGAGTTGAAGCAACTTATAACAATACATTGAGACGGTCATGCATCTTCTAGCTCCGCCTCTCTCTTGCATATTATCAATACTATGCAGTCACCTAACCTAAATTCAGATGATTAAGTTGTCCAAGTTTCTTCTGACCTCAGGGCCTTTGCACATGCTGTTCTCTTTACCTGGAATAGTTTTAAATCCACTTTCCCCAAAAAACCCATTTTGGGTCTACTTCCTACTAAATCTTGAGTTCTTAGCTTCAGTGTCATTTCCCCAGGAATTGTGATCACTGGCTTGCCCCTACTCCCCTCCCTAAATGAGGTAAGGCATCCAGGGTATTTCCTCTTCCAACACTGCCTACTTCACCTACTTGTGAAGTTAGTTTACAATTGGTTTAATGTCTGTTTCTCCTGCTCCAAAGTAAGATCCACAAGAGCCATGATCATTTTTGTGTCCATGAGCCAGGCCCTGTTTTTAGTGAATGAGTGATGAAATAGTAACAAACTATAACAAAAAACAGAAACCCAAGCTCAAGGCCAGGCCAGACACTAACACACTAATCATGAGGATGAACAACTTCCTGAGTTATTCACATTCAGCTCGGGAATTTCCTCCGTCAGTAAACCTTCCCTAAGAAAACTCCGTCCCCACAGGGCTGGTCAGATCCCCCTCTCCAGGGTTCCTGTGGCAGGCACCCTGCAAGGTTTGTCTTTTATTTAAGTACTTCCACATTCCATTGCAGTCATCTCTCTACTTGCCTATCTCTTCCACATGAACAGAAGCCTCTGGGGACCAGAGATTGTCTTTTATCTTTAAGGCCATTGAACTGGGCACAAAGTAGAGAAGAAACATGGCAACTGTGGTTCATACCATGGACTACAGAGTTGACCAGAATACATTTGAATCCCGGTCTCACTTTACTTCTTTAAAATTTGGTTTCCTCAACTGTAAAAACAGGAATAAAAGCACTTATGCCATAGAATTGTTATAAGGATTAAATGTAATAATACACCCTGTATCATGACTGACTTTAAAAGGTCCCCAATTGCTAGCTCTCATTATTACAGCAGACCCTCAATAAATGATCACTGAGTACATGGGTTAATCAACAGTATGTTAGGGCAAACAATTCTCTAAGGTGATGCTCAATATTGTTCCACTTCTGGAATATTGCAGAAATAAACCTTGATAACATTAGTTGTAATGTCAAAATAAAATAATCACAGGGCAAGAAGTAACCTTAAAGACATAGTTCATATACAAGAAGAATCTATTGTATGTTAATGCTCTCTGGAGGAGATTCCAGAACTTTCCTAATGACACAGTTTGAGCTTTAAATACCCACCCTCAGGAAATCCTCCCTTTTCTTTACCTTATGTTCCCAGGCTGCAGTTAGGTCACCTTCCTCCCTCCTGCCCTAAACACACCTGAAGGATACAGGTCCCCCTGAGGAAGAGCTGAAGTCACTAGGTCAGGGAGGAATCTCAGAAAATCTGCATCACATTGCAAAGGAGGTAAGGGTGGTCCAAGTCACCTAGTAGCCAAAGGACAACTAACTGAACGAGATGAAAAAGGATGGAGATGAGAAAAACCCACCATAAAGATGGGGACAGTCTTCTATGTTACATCTTTTCTAATCCACACTTGGGCTTGTACAAAGTTTTATATACTGAGAGGGTTGACAGGCGATTTGTTTTGGAGGTTCAATTTTTAAAAATAGAAAGTATTTCTCTGTGATAACTGTTTTGCAGGAAGAGAGATACAATGTACCTTAAGCAAACTAGATACACGAAAATAACGATTTACAAAGTGTATCAGTTAGGGGGTAACTGTTCTCCTTGGTAAAGACTTTCACAGCAGGGCTAAATTTATTTTGTCACCTCTTCTAATGTGTTTTATATATCCTTTGATTTACTAAAATTTGATTTACCAATTTCTGTTGCATAAAGTAAGGTACACCTGAAATTGAGAATGTAGAGTGTACTAGGTCTCTGGCTTTCATAGATGATGGCAAGAATAGACAGTAGTTGGCTTTGCATAGCTGCATGAAAACCAGTACCGGGAATTCTTTGTGGCTATAATGTGTCTTCTAGGCAATTTTTCCCCTGACTGTGCTCTGTAAATTTTACAGAACAAAACAGTGGGGAAAATGCAAATACTCCACTTTAGAGCTTTGTTGGGTAAAAGTTATTCAGGGGAAATACATGTGCTCCCACTAGGGAAGGTTATATTTTTTACTTACAGTGTCTCCTGGCAATACAGGGTGACACATTTTATATACTAATGTTATTTTCATTTACTCCTCAGAAGTACAAATTATGCTCACCTCTTTGTATAGACTCCATAAATACTTTGGTGCTTCTGAGAAAGAGTTTAGTGAAGACACTGGAAGGGTCCAAATCATTTTAAATTGTTATGCCTACACGCTCATTTCTGTGGACGTTTTTTCATGCACAATGCCACTCATTAGAATAAAAAGAACCATTCTCTGTTCCAACTCATAAAATGTACATAATATGAAAAATGAACATAAAGATGAATTTTTAAAAAAATTTCCCCATGATCCCTGGTTTTCTGTATTCAATTTTTTTTCCTCTTTCTGAAAACTATCAATGGCAACTTCTCTATCACATGAGATTGAAAAATGCAGCATATTTTCCTAAAGAAATATGCAGTGCTGCCATTTGAAGAAATTACTGTGATTAAAAGAAAAAAAACACATGCACCACAGCTTTTTTTTTAAAAAAAAAAGACTGGATTTTATAGTTCTCTCCAAAGACTACATAACCATAATTTACATTTTTAAAAGTATTATAACCCTTTTTAAGGTAGTAGCAATTTGTCTGGTATTTTCATCTATTTTGAGTTAACATCTATTAGCATTCTTGAAAATGTGAGGCAAACTGGATGCTAATTAAGGTGAATCACACCATAGCTTCATTCTGTGGCAGCCGCTCCCATGGAAGGGTGAGGAGAGAACCTGCAGAGTGTCCGAGATTCAGATGCATGAACTTCCCTAGACCATCAACTGTTTCTTCACCTTCTTATCAATACTTTCCCCAGAAAGTTCCAGAGAAGTGAAAGCCTAGCCTGAATTATCTCCCCAATGATACCTATTGTTCAAAAGACACAATTTCTGATAAAAATTGCTGAAGAAACCATTTAAATTAAGTGATTCTTATTTCCTCTTTGTAAAATAGCATATTTCTTGTGAGGAGAAATATTTGACACCTGAGTATATTAAAATCACACTTAAGAATATAATAAAGCAATTAAAATCACCCTTTTTTTAAAAATGGAGAAAGTTTCCCTGCATAAAGTAAACACTGTTTAAAATACCATAAACAATAAAATGTATTGTGTGATTCCTAGACTGTTAAGTTCTCTGACAGTATGAGTATTTTAGTCATCTCTTTGTTTTCAGTTCTACATATATTGTCTGGCATATTCTCATCTCATTAGAATAGAAGCTCATGAGACAGGAGTTTTTGTTGTTTCTGTTCACTGCCAAATCCCAGCACCAACAGAATGCCTAGTACACAGTAATTATTCAATACTTGTTGGCAACATTAATATAGTAGTTGTTCCACGAATATGAAACAAGTAAACAAAACAGCACCAATGAACAGTGCATCA